CATAATAATGAGGCCCAATCTGCTGGAAAACACAGAAAGGACAAATTAATAAGGTCGTCATTTTTGTCTAATGATGCTTAATACAGTTTGAGCAATCTGCTCGAGACAAAAGACGGGCACTCAGACATAGCCGATTATGCATTCGCGTGGCAGCTGAAATCTTTATTAAACAGAATGATGAATCTGATTAACATGTGATAACAAATATACAGTCTGGGAGCAGGGCCCTGGCACCTCCCGCCAGCTCCGCTCCGGCCCCTCCGAGGCTTTACTCAGATTGAGGTCAGACTGGAATTCCCGATAGGCGCATTAAGATAAAAGTTTGCCAAATGTGGTAACGTGATGAACAAAACAATATCCTGTTATATAAAAGCTACTACTGTCTCAACAGCTGACTGTCTAATCAGTGATAGCGACAACTCCTTAATAAGTTTAAAATTTTAATTGTGGGTTTCGCTCGCCTTTTAGCATATGAAGGACGATTAGCTAAGCTACATCTTAAAGCACCCCTACATTTATGCCAACAAAATATTCTAATTCCAAAGTACTGCCTTCTATTCCATTTCACAAACATTATCTTCCCAAGCAGGAATCTACAATTATTTTTGGTGTTTTAAGCAATATAAAAAATAAAATTAATTTATTTGCCACTGATTGCATGTTAATGGAGGTTTCTAGGTCAATGGGAAACATGTGATGTGATTGAATTCGTAGAAATGTAGCAGTAAATTTAAAAATCTGATTTTCAACAGAAATAACTGATTAAAAAGGAGGTTAAAAAAATGTACACRATGTAATTTGTTAATCCCACCTTAAATTTGAGTCATGAAAATACAGCGTTGCCTCTTTAAACGGTGACCAAATCTCGGAGTAAATAACAGCCCTTAAATCCAGGGATTCTATGTTAAGCTTGCTTTGCTGAAGCAATGTGATTTCTATTAAATGAACAATTCCTTGCSTTCCAGAACCAACTGTACTTGATTTATAGGCAGCACATGACACAAAGTAATTTAAGATGACACGTGATCCCTCATGACAATGTACATGATTTACCACAGGGTGGGCAGCAGTAGGAACTCTAATGTTGATTTTATCTCCACAAATATATTGCTCAGCAACAGCAGGAGCTTGTGTTCAAGAGCACAGAACTGGGAGTTAAGAGTGACTGAATCACAGCTTCTTCACTTGAATGCATCTGTGTTTGCTCTGCTAAATGATAGCACATCATAAATCATCATTTTCAATTCCTTGGACTCCTTCTGTGTGCCTTCATTTGCATGAATATATCCCCAATTACAACACAACATGAGACTGGATTTAAAACAAGGAGATGACAAAATTCAAGCTGTGTTTATCTCTAAAATCATTCATYCCCAGTCCATCCTATCTCCCTCAATAAATTACATCATTTTCACACACAACATAGAAAGAAAATAACAAAAAAAAATAGTGATTTCCTTCCTCACCTCCCCAAATCCCASATTCAAGTCACCTGGCACATTAATCTACCCCTAAGACATGGGTAGATCCAAGCAGAGATTCTCCTGATTTCCTGGAGGTGTTAGAGCCCATTATTTTCCATCTACAGAACAAGTTCAGAAGACAAAACAAAAAATCATCTCTTTATACCCCAGGGGATCTCTTTTATTTCCTATTCTGCCAGTATGAATTCTCTCAGTGTAACATTTCATTGTGTTTGATACAAAATGAATGCTCCAAATGCCATGAAATCTTGGTGGTGGTGCTTGAAATCCCAATGTTCATGGCAAATAATKCTTCACAAACCTTGTCCCATCACCACACTGTCACATTCTGCATTTCAAACAGCTTGGACAGTTGATAATGACACACAGAGGCCAAAACATAAGGATTATATTCAGTTTTTGGCAAAGATTTCGTCTCCAAAATCTCTCACTAAATCCAACTGTTTTTATATCCACAGAATAAAGGAAGGAAAATGCAGGGAAGGCTGAGGTGTCCTGGGCTTACCTGCACAGCTCACTCAGGATGGAACCCCCCTCTCTGCTCTAAGAGTACAGAAAAAATACTGAGTTTTCTCATGGAGATTTCAAAGRGTTCTATTGAGAATTCAGTTTGCTCACACTGAAATACAATACCTATAAAGAAATTTCTTCCTGTTGACTCCATTAAACCATGTCCATGTTCATCCTTCAGGGGCTGATTAACTTCTTTTCTCAGTGCCAAAACCAACATAAAACTACATGTCTGAAAATTCAAGTCTACAGCACTTGTGTAAATATGTTTTGTTCTGGTTTTCCTTTCATGTCAGACACGGATGGTTGCTATTTTCCTACCCCTTGTCAAAAGATGTAATGCTACAGACACTGCAACAAATTAGGTAGAGGCAGTTTCAAATATATTCACTGACCTGAACTCAGCTCTCAGCCATAATTYCAAATCTCTGTGGTAGAAATTAAATAAATCATATAAAATTGATCTRGGTTAATATTCATTCTACCTTTTACAAAAATGGTTATTTTAAGATTTCCTGTACAAATCATTCAGTGAAACTTTATTATGTTACAAAATGAACTGATCTGACTTACCCATGACTGGACTTTGTTACTGAAATGAGTAACCTCAGCTCCTATCAAAGGGCACGGAGAAATGGACTGAAGGACACAGCTCCTGCACTGCAAGTAACTTGTCAGAGAAGATTCCTTCTCATTCCAAAGAGCATTTAAAGATAAACTGCCATGCAACTCTTCCAAAAAGAAAGAAAAAATGTTTTTTAGAGAGAAATTTTTTTAATAGATAAAAGTCACGAGTTGAATTGCACATTTTAAAATGTCATGTTCTTATTTGGCCAGAAAGATGGTAAAGAATGCTCATTAATCCCTCCTAAAAATGAGTCCCTGTGGCACAAATCCCATCTGATTCATTGTGCCATCCTAACACCACTGGATTGGGCAACAGAATTGCCCAAAAATAAAATAAAATAAAATAAAATAAAATAAAATAAAATAAAATAAAATAAAATAAAATAAAATAAAATAAAATAAAATAAAATAAAATCTATTTTTGGTCTCTGTCACCTGAGGAACCCAAGGGTTCCACATTCCATGGGCTGACAGATGGAATCATTTCCTATCAAACCCAGCACTTCTGTTTTAACCACAGGGTTAATGCCTCCAGTTCATGGATTTTAATTTGTAAGGAATGGACAGGATTCTGTGTTTCAGTCTCCATCAGGATATTATGAAAGGACCCAAGGAATCTGSGAGTGGAGGGGACACTGGAGCTCATCTTCAGTGTTTGTTAAATRTGCAGAGCTTTGASAAAGGAAAARCCTCYCCRTGAGYTTCCCAAAAGATCCAAGGGAGGRGTGTCAATGCTGGGAATGGGATTTMAYTYRAAGCAAAAGGACTTTGCAGAYRTTRGCTGGTGTTTATCAGTGAGAATTTACCTTTCACTGGCATCTGATAAACCTTTAAAGTTTCCTTGAGGTGACCAAGACTCTCAGCGTCTGAGATGACCAACATCACGTTATCATCTTCTGAAACAGCATCTGCTTTACACACACACTTATTAATGGATCCTTTACTCCTCATATTGGCATTTCTGAAGAGTTTCCAGATTATTTTCAGCTCGCTCTTACTGCAGCRAGCTTTTCTCAAAATTCCTATAATTTAAAAAGTGGGGTGTAAGACTTACACACACACATGGGTTTGAATACAGCACTGTTCAACCACGCTGCAAACTTTCCACATTTACAAGATGGTAATTTAGGCCCTGATCCAATACCCACTGCAGCCACTGAAAAGACTTCTATTGCTGTAAATGGCCCTTGGAAGAAGGCCTTATTTAAAATTTTTAATGTGTTCAAAATTTACTTTTCAACAGATAATTTTCCCCCTGTTATTACTCCCAAATCGACYAGTCAGCTTGAATCCACTTTGAATAAAGCCATTTATTTTGCATTTTCAGATTTTTTAAACTTTCCTCAATCAATTGGCATCTGAGATTCAGTTTAAACAACATAAAACTTCTCACTGACAACAGAAGTGTAGACATTCCTGGAGCTCAGAATGCTTTTACTGAACACAGGGGTTCCATTTCACAGGTTCTACACCAAAGATACGATGATCCTGATAAATTAAGGGAGTCCATGAAAGGTTTCTGAGAAAATTACCCAAATCTTAAAGGAGACACATGGTTTCTTTGGGAAAACAGGGAGGCAAGAAGTGGCCTCCACGACCTGGGCCTGCCTTTTCCCAGTGTGGATTTTTCTGGCATGATTTTAATGTGCCCAGAATATGGAATTTCTGCCACTGTTTCTCAGGCACAGGTCTGCCTTGCTGAAGAGCTTTGTATTTTCTTGGTTTCATCAGATCCAGCAGTGTTTGACATGAAGCTTCTCTAATTGTTTCTGCGTGTAACTGATGAGAATGTGCAGGAATTGGGTCATTACCACACACAGCCCAGCAGCCTGAAGATGGAGATTTTATTAAAAAATAGCAGAGTTGCTTTACTATTATCAGCCTTTAGMCCTTCCCAATTCAAGTGTCTCACAAAAAACACAGAGAATTTSCAAAAGCAGCTCATCCCCACTTTGTAAAACGGGCCAACCACAGGCTAAAAACCAAATTAAAAGTGGGTTACACATTGAAGAACAGCAGTGAAATCATCTGGCTTTTCAGCCAGACTTTTGRTAGTTCCATGCAAAAAACATGCAGTGGATTCACTGAGTTTCTGTGCCAAGATATTACCGAACTTCTCACAGCAACTGGTAGCAAATTAACACCTAATCCTGGGAAGGAACACAGCCCAATGAATGGGCCACTATGCTCCAAATAATTCCTTCCAGTCCCCCATAATGGCAGGAGGAGCTGTCKTCAGTTAAATCTCAAATATCAGATGCCAATTGTGGCTAAATGTGTCAGGGTGGCAGCACCACTGGATCAAGAAAACTGCCAGGAAAAAAAAAAAAGAAAAATTAAAAAAAAAATTATTATTATTATTATTATATTAAATACAATTGTTATTGTGACAACTCCCTGAAAAAGGCTTCCTGCAGGTCTCTGGTGCAGTTCTGAGAACTCATTTATCTAGAAACCAAATCCAGTGCAGAAATGCACCCATTATTCTAAAATAGCCCTCCAGCATCCCAAACTGGGAAAGTAAAAGGATGGATGAGAAATCCCACCATTCCCAATAAAACAATTGATCTTACCCTCTGCTCTGGGCAGGATTTCAGCTCCACAGACAACACAATAAATTCCTTTCTTGCAAGGCTGGTTGTGTGTTTCCTTCTAACAGAGCAATGCACAAATGCATGTAAATTTGCATATAGCAACGATGCAGATTGAAGTATTTATATAYAAATCAGATAAAATCTATCAAAATTGCTTCAGAGAAATACAGSACTTGAAATACTCAAAGGAATCTGAGTTAATGTTTATCAGTAATTAATAATTAAAATATGCTTCTAAAAATGCTTAATCTCACTTAAATAGGAACTCTGTCATATAAAATATGAGGTATTTTATAGTCTATAAAACTGCAGGCTAAGGATTTGTTGGGGATTTTGCAAAGGAGCCTGGGAGGGTTGGTGCCTTTGTGCTTCCCATGAGGAACAAAGGTATCTATTGAGAGTGTAAATCASAGATCTGCAGATCAGGGAGAAAYTATTTCATTCTATTCTTTCACTTAAAAAATGATATAACAAATCATTCTTAATTCCCTTGCACCTCAACACTCARCAGCAGCCACTCAGAACTGGAATCCATGGATGTGGTACCTTTCTCTCTCGGGAGGAGCCACTTTGCCTAAGGGCAGCTTTCCTTCTCCTGCATCTCCTCTGAACTTTCARTCCTTAAATAAATTCAAGATTTTGTTACTATTTTAGGCAGCAGAGATTACACCAAGCTACTARTAAGTAGGAGAATAATTTTCAATATTTTAGCCTTGATAGATGTGATACATCTAAATGAATAATTCTTGGAAATTCAGTATATCRACTTCACTTCCCTTTTCTCTACAGGCTGGGCAGCATTTCATCCTAGGAGTAAATTTATTACTTATAAAGAACTTTCTTACCTCTAACATGATAAAACCCACAATTATTAGATATAAAGATAAATTAAAAATGAATTTACACCAAAAGAAACAACCCAAACCCAGCAGTAACACAAAGGAGTTTTACCCACCTGCTGTCCTGAGCACTGCTCAGGATTTGAGTTTTTAGAGGACAGAAATTTTTCAAGAAAACRCAGTAGCAAATGCTGATGTTTCAAGAAAACACAGTAGCAAATGCTGAGCTTTCAACACATCTTTTAGAAGTAATGGTTAATTTGATATAAAATGTAGGTGGTGTAAATTAGTGTGAAGTGTTTGATACAAAGCAGGCCTTAAAGGATTTCTGCTCAAAGGAAGATGCAACATGAGATCAAGAAAGGAACAATCTGCTCCAGATAAGGAAAGGGAGATGGATTTTCTTCTTTTCTTTCCAATGTTATGGATTTAAAGACAGACAAATCTTCTGAAAGACAAAGAAGAGGCCGTGGGCCGCTGGATGAGCAGACAAGTCCCAAAGCTTAAGTGATTTCTSTTATCTGTTTAGATAAAAACACAAAAAATGGTTTGGTGCAGAAGATTTGCTTTAGGAAAACTAAGTCATTCAAGACTCTTGAGGATCAGCTAAAGGATTCTGGGGAATGGGGCTGCCCCAGCTGCCAGGGCAGCTCTTCACTGCTTCAACAGAAATTAAAGATATTTGCCTTCAGATGTATCAGATGCTTTCAATACTGCAGTTTCTGCCATATCAACTAAATCAAACCCAGTGAAATCCAGGAAACCTAAACCAAGGAAATCTGATCATCAATATTGCAAAAATTGAACTAAATGCCTTATGTCAAAAACTGCAAGTTAAAGAAATCGAACAGTGTTCTTGTGATTCTTGCAGAGCATCCAATTTCATAAAGGTGCATTTATGAAGAATTATGAATTTATGTTTAAAGAAAGGGCACAATTTAAATCCTATCGATATTAGCACGTTCACAGATCTGTAGAGATGGATTCAAAATGTTATTTAGATGAACTTCAATGGAAAATAACCAGTTAATAATTTCATTTCTACTGTCAAACAAAAAGATGAACCAATCTTTAGATTGTAAAAATCCTGCATCTTCATCTTAATGGAGGATGGCAATGAACAATTTTTTCTTGAAAAGTCAGTATTTTTTATTACAGAAAAAATCCTGGCTGTTTTGATTAAAATAAATGAAAGAAACTTTTAAAATACTGCCAAAAAATAGACTGGGAAAGATTCAAAGATCTTTGTGTACAATTGACATTTTTTATGTTGCATGCAAAATGTGYTTGTAGGACATACAAATGAGGTTTTGACATCAATACACACAGAATCCAACCTACAGAAATCAGATCCTCTCACAAAAGGAGAAAAGAAACCTCAGCTTTTACAGAAATCAAACAAAGATTCCTGGGGAAGCCTCTCACCTTCAACAAATACCAAAATGTGCACAGCTGCTGCTGGACATCATGATGTAAGAAATTGGAAAGATTCAAAGTACTGCAGAAGACACCTGTTTTGGTTTTTAGGGTCAATCTATGACTTGATCTACAAAAATASTGTTTTATTAAAAAAAACAAATCTAACAAATGCAGAAAACTACCATTTGGTTATAGGAGTGTTTTGCTTTCAGAGGAATAACACAATTATTTGAATGTATTTAATGGTGAATTAATTAAATCTGTAACAGATAAACCAATAATTCCATATCAGAGCCTATTTAGATTTCTGTTTAGAATTCCCAGACATGATGTCCTTTAGCCATGAAGTCAGGATGAAGAATCTTCATTATTTCTACAGAAAACAGCACATTGCAAACTCTGCCAGTGAAAAACCTAAAAACATCATGAGAAATGGAGCCTGAGGGCAGTTTTTGTTCCATGAGGACAGGGAAGCTGTGGCTGTTTGCCTCTGCTGATGCTTTTTTTCCCTTTATATCTGGACTATGAGCAATAAAACTGCAAYCTCTTTGTATTAAAGTGGGGAATAAATCCTTAAAGATCTCCCTAAAAAATAATTTCACAAATTTATATCATTTTAGTGGTGCTGGAAGGGCTGCCCACCATGGTGCCCACAGACACTGTCACCAGGTGYCACCAGTGCCCAGCAGAGAGGATGACACACCTTTATTTCGGGATCTGGAAAGGCTGATTTTCCTTTTAGAGGTGTCCATCCCCTGAGATCCTCCCTGCTCTGCTCCTGCTGCAGMTGCCACCTCACTGTCCCTGCTCCTCTCATTTTCCATGATTCCATGGGGATTTCTCCTGGCAGCCCCAGTTTGTTCAGTCACACTCAGCGTTTCTGAGGTGTTGATGGCAAAATGATCATCAGGGATTGTGGAATTCCCACATTCCACCCAAATCCCAGTGGTATCACAGGCTGGAACTGGGGGGTCAGTTTTTAGTTCTTCTGCTTCTGCATCATCATAGAGCTCTGGGGTGAAGTAAATGCTCTCATCCTCATCCTCAGCCTCTGCCACAGTTAATGGTGAAGCCTCAGCTCTCCCTGATGCTGAAGGGAACTCCCTGCARGGCTCAGCTGGGAGCTGGAGCTTCTCAGGATGTCCTTCAGCATTCTGAACTGAAAAATGAGCACTTTCCAAGCATGATTCAGGTCCACTCGGTTTATGTTCTGCAGTTAATGATGATTGGCATTGATTGAAATGATCAATAAGTTCACCAGGCCCATCCACATCCTCCAGTTTGCTGCTTGCTCTGGCCCTGCACCTCTTGGCTACAGGAGTTGAAGTCGGTGGTTCAACACAATTCTCTTCCACAGTATCAGCATTGGTCCAATCATTCATTTTTTCTGTCTCTACTTTAATTGCTGACACTTTGGGGGTGGAGCTCCTTTGTTTTCTTCTTTGTTTTTCATGGTGAGAATGGCTCTTTACATCAACTTTCTGATCACCTGTGAAAAATCACAAAACACAATGAGTTGTATCTGATTTACAGCACATTTAGCACATCCAAATTACCCCTGTTTTAGARGGTTTACAGTGATTTTACAATACTCATTAAAAACAATAACACAAACAAAAGCCCAGATGTTACAACTATCCTTGCACATGAATTGTCTTAATTAAATGAATAGATTAACAGGCATATGTAAAGTTAGCATGACTGGATTTGAAATTTTTAATTTTCTATTATTGTGCTCCTATCTTTTTTTGCTTGAAATGGAATCATAAGCTTTCCTAAAATTTAGGAATGGATTTTTTTTGAAGCTGGAGATAGAGAACACACGGAAGGTGTCTCACAGCAATGTCCAAATAACAGATGTGGTTCAAACCAGAGCACTAAACATGCAATAATGCTCATCTTGATGTGTTTCAGATATACTTGAAATTATCTTTACAGTGTTCAATGGAAAAAGAAATGAAAATGAAAACGTTTTTGGTTGTGCTACAAACTTATCAAACATTACTGTTTTAAGACAACCAGATGGAACRAGAATTAATTTCAGTCTGTTGAGCACAGCTCATCCACATTTGTGAATAATTATCATTTTCCACTATAGCACTTCTGCAATTTTAAAAAACATTTGTTTCTTCCCAAAAAGATGCAACTCCACATTTGAAATGGCCAGTGGGAAGGAACATACTTTGTTCCACTCTTGCCATGCTGTTACTTGGCCCATTCCATGCTGTGGGATGAACTGAGCTGATGGCTGCAGTAAAATTCACTTCTGAGCCCAAATTGTGCTCCTGACTTTTAGCAGAAACATCTGGTGACAGAGGAAAGGCTGCCTCTGGTTGAGAGCCTTGTGACAGGTCGCTGAAATGTGCAGGGAATTGGCTGCCAGGCTCGRAGGATCCATCCCCACCCCTCTGGTTCCTGGCAGCAAAGGCGTGCAGGGATTTCAGAGCGCTCCCRAAACTTCCGTGGTGCTGGATCTGCTGACGGATCCACTTGGATAATCCTAAGGGGGAAARAAATAACTTACTAAAATCACAGCATCTCTACCAGATTTCACATCAGCAAACAGAACCCTAAGAGTGCAAATATTTCTGTGTAGATACAGCCTCAAGGRTTTCAAGGATTTGTTCATGAAACTGCAACAATTCCTCCTTTCCAGGGATGGGAACTTGATTTGTGCCAGGGCAGCATTCTGAGAAGCAAAATTAAAAATATCCTTCTTTACCTTTTCCCTGGTCTTTTTTGTTAGGTTCGAACTGCTGCCTTGCATAAACACCATTACATTTCTTTGATGCCTGGCTGTTTATTCTGCTTGTTCTCATGAATTATTTAAAAGCACAGAGTAYAGCTATTTATTGTCACATTAGCAGGGTCTGATAAAAATTGGAATAGAATGAAGCYTTTTACAACTTTGTGTCAGGTTAARTAATAATAACTCAGAAAGAATCAYAAYTGTTCTACAGCTACAATATAATAAAACCTGTTCTTAACAAAATAATATTAAAATTCTCAAATAGCAGATGTCTTGAGGACAAAGCTGTTTAGATGATGTTGGAGCACACAAGGGTGAAGTAAAAACTGACTGCCGCGATTTTAGAAAGTGCTTTTGATGCATTTAAATATTCTTTGAATATCAATTTAAAAAATAACCAGACCCAAATCCACAACAACAACAGAGAACTTCATTCTTCTGTGAAGTTCCCATTTTAAAGAAAGGAATCTTACCAAGTCTTGACCATASAGATTATCTGTGTTACTACATGAATTACTTGTGTTTACTTCAATAATTTCAACGTATTTTTAGTACAARCACATCAGAGAAGGAGCTGGACTCAACTGCAGCAGCTGAGCTCCACCTGCTGACCAAGCCCAGCATGGACTGGTGAGCTCAGCTCTGCCCTGCAAAAAGGGCAGGAACAAAGGTAAAAATCCATTCCTAAGAAGGTTATTTTCTAATTTTTATCTCTTTTATAAAGTCAAGTACAGGATTTGTTTTATTTCCACCCAATATAAAATAAAAKATCAGAAACCCTCTTGTATATTGAATATTCAGTTCAATTTGTGTTTCCTGGTTGTGGTTCATTCTGACTTCTACTCACCTGTATTTGTACAACCACATTTCTGTAAATTTGAGGTTTCAGTATTTTTCAGTACAAGGAAGTTTCCCCAAAAGGTTTTTAACCCTTACCAGTTATGTATTTATTGGGGTTATTCCTGAAGCGGTCGTCAACTAAAATAAGAGCCCCCCAGTCATTCCTGTGCCTTATACACCTAAAAGGGAGAGAAAAAAGAGTGAATGTGCAATTAGGGGACATCTTGAAAATATCTGTGGGAATTAGGAAACAGAGATTGCAGTAAGTGAGTTGGAATATGTAAAATGATACAGGAAGTGCTTTTCTACTGCATGCACCACAAATTGTTATGGATGTCACAGGATTTCATTTCCCTWCAGCTGTTGAATTTACTACACAAAAACAGAGATATTAAAAGAAAAAAACAAAACTAAAATATACAAATATTCAACAGCCAATCAGACCACATCGTTTGTTATTCACTCCTACCTGGGCAGTGTAAATATCACAGAACGTCCTGCCAGCTCAGTGGAACGTTCTGGTTTAATCAAGACAGTCCTCATAACCCCTCATCCTTCCCCACATCTCAGCTTAGCAAGGGCTTTGTCTGATGGTTTCAGAAGGAATTTGTACCTTATTTCCTTCAGAATAGAAGTTTATTTCCAGATAATTTAAATTTAAGTTCARATAATTTAAATGATAAATTCTACAACAAGCAATTGTCACTAAAATTCGATTTAAGTTAAAATTTATTTCACAGTGACAGAACTTCTGCTTAATTTCTCGATATTATGAATGTTTTCTGATGTCACAATTTTCTTTCTAAGCCTTTATTTGTCATCACATTTGCATTATGTCTAATTCAAATCAGAAGAGTTTTCCAGCTGATATTTCTCATCCATAAATCTGTGGTTCTGTGTATCCACAACAGATGCACAGCACCTATGATAGATCTGGATGACAGTTCTAATCTTTATTTATATGATAAATTTTGTTGAAGGAGGATGAATTAATTCCACCCTGTTAATATCATTTGGGGAAATTTTTCCATCTGGGAAAGGGAAGCTATACCACTTCTTCTAAATCTGGGAAGAGATCAGTGAGCACGATAATTGAATTGACCTTTTGCAAAGGTCTGAAAAACCCCACTGCTATTTCTCCCTTTCAAAAATACTTGTAGGCTAAATATCAACAACTGTTGTGAGCCCACTGAGAGTGTGAACAATTAGTGCATTGGAAAAGTCCTAAGGATTTTCATTTGCTCTAAAACTCAAGGACTGTTTGTCTCTGCTGATGCTTTTTTTTCCTTTATATCTGGACTATGAGCAATAAAACTGCAACCTCTTTGTATTAAAGTGGGGAATAAATCCTTAAAGATCTCCCTAAAAAATAATTTCACAAATTTATATCATTTTAGTTCTGTTCATCTCACCTTCCCAGGGCTTGGTTGAGAGCTCTAAAAGCTTGAATTTCATACCACTGACTCCCTGATAAAAGGCCTCTGGTACTTTTGTGCTGGTCATTGTAATTCCTCTTTAATTCCACCTGAAAAAGAAACCATAAAACATTGGGTTTATTAATGATGTTGAAAGGAGATATTCTAAAAGGGGAAAAGAAGCAAACATTGATTAAATAAGAGAATATATAAAGTGTGCCACAGTGTTTCAACTCTACATTTTGCACATAAAATAATTAAGGCTTCTAAAATTGCTCTTAGATGTGTTCCAATTATTTAAATTTATTATTTGAATTTATTATAATTTTTTCAAAAATTTAAATGTATTGACACAAGTTGTTCACACAGGCAAAAAACCCCAAACCAGATACAGGCAGATGGACTCCAAACCCCAGTTTTATTTGCTCTTCTGAAAGGAAATGACCCACTGGAGCTCTTCATCTTTTCCTTTATCATAAACCCACCACAAACAAACCAAATCCTTCCCTTTATCCCATCCAGTGCTGAGAACAGACCCTACTTTGCCCAAGTAAGGGTTAAGCAAATGTTTCCCTTTTAAAAAGCACAGGATACTATTATTATTATTATTATTATTATTATTATTATTATTATTATTATTATTATTATTATTGTTGTTGTTGTTGTTGTTGTTGTTTTGTTGTTGTTGTTGTTATTATTATTATTATTATTATTATTATTATTATTATTATTCAGCAAGGGGGGACTGAATTTTATCTTTTTAAACAAACATCAAACTACACCAAAAAGGGTCTTTCTGTTGCTCTTTTGCACAGTATTAACCTTTCTAAACTGACAAGTGAAAGGACACGCTTCAGGAGAGAAAACAGCAGACTTCTAACCTCTTCTGACAGGTAACTTTCAAGTTGCATTTGGATAAGAAATTTTATTTTATGTACTTATGCCCTTTAAATTGCCTGTCAAATTTACAAATTCAATCTTTACAGCCAGAAAGCAAATTCAGTTTGATTTCACAGATTTAATATTTGKTCCAGTCACTCAGAATTTACTGACTGGCATGTGAGGTTCCCTTCTTCATTTTCCAAAGAGAAGATGATTTCTTCTGAATGGTTTATGAACATTAAAACCATTCCTCAAAAAGGAACTTGGGTTTATCTGTGCATTTCTACAAACAGAAATRTCACCTGGAGAAAGAAAAGGTTCACCACTGGAAATGAGGAATGATGTTGGAAAAGTTCACTGAAGCCTTTCAAACATAACCAATGACAATAAACTCCTGAATATGTTTTGCACTTGCCTTCTAGTCCTGGTAAGTTTTATAACAATTTCCTTTTTTCAAGGATTTTGTTAGCAGTAAGATTCTGGCCATTTGGAATAAATGGATGTTTACCAGCCYCTCACTTTGCCAGCAAACAATTGGAATAACTGGTCCTGTGTCTTATGCTTTAAAAAAATCACATTATTTTTAAATATGTGCATAAACTCACTGAAGTAGCAGTAGAAGGTAAACGAGTCAAATCATCTCAATAAAATACATTAATTCCACATTCTTCTCATGCGTGTCAGTGTTACCAAGTGTTCATTGCTTGTATGCACACCAACAATGACATTTCATTGATTAAATTAGGTAAAACCCATTTTTTTAATATAAAACCCCTTGAGTTTGGGGTTTTTTTAACCCTATTTCTTTGCTCTAAGTGTATAATGAGGTTTTTTTAACCCTATTCCCATGCTCTAAGTGTATAATGGGTTTTTTCTAACCCTAATCCCTTGCTCTAAGCATGCAATGGGTTTTGTTAACCCTATTYCCATGTTYTRAGAGTGTAATGTGCTTTGTTAACCCTATTSCCWTGCTCTAAGTGTGCAATGGGTTTTGTTAACCCTATTCCCTTGTGCTCTAAATGTGTAATGGGGGTTTTTAACCCTATTCCCATCCTCTAAGCATGCAATGGGTTTTGTTAACCCTATTCCCATACTGTAAGTGTGTAATGGGTTTTGTTTAACCCTATTTCTCTAAGTGTGCAATGGGTTTTGTTTAACCCTATACCCATCCTCTAAGCATGCAATGAGTTTTGTTAACCCTATTCCCATGCTCTAAGTGTGTAATGGGTTTTGTTAACCCTATTCCCATGCTTTAAGTGTGTAATGGGTTTTGTTTAACCCTATACCCATCCTCTCAGCGTGCAATGGAGTTTTTAACCCTATTTCCTTGCTCTAAGCATGCAATGGGTTTGTTTAACCCTATTCCTCTAAGTGTGTAATGGGTTTTGTTTAACCCTATTCCCATGCTCTAAGTGTGTAATGTGTTTTTTTAACCCTATTCCCTTGCTCTAAGCACATATCACATCTTCTCAACTTTCCAATTTTAATCAGAAAGGGTTCCCAACCCCAGCCTTTAATTTTTCTCACCACATGCTGCTGTCTGAGCAGCACAGGATGGCAGCTGCCTCTCTGGGAGCTCAGCCTGCTCAGGTAAAAGGCCAGGGCCTGTCATGGCAGTGCACTCAGAATCCATTTCATTGTAAACTCTGCYTTCCCTCCCGTCAAGCCCAGGGCCGATCCAAGCTGACATGTTACATATGTGAAAAAGCCAGTGCCTCCTGCTAGCAAATATCCAGCGTGTGCAGGAAAGCACGGGCTAGAAGGGATTAGTTAAAATGTCAAAAGACAGCCTTTTACTTTTACCTGTTCATCCTTAAAAACATCCTCCCAGCTCTCGGGCAGGATTTGCAGACAAAGAGCTGCAGCGAGAGCAGCGCAGGGCCCCTGGCAAGCTCTGCCATCCTGTAGCTGTCACCCAGATTAGGCTTTGATCTGTCTGGGAGGTCATGGGCACAGCCACGTTCACTGCAATCCCCCCACGTTCCACCTGCAAACCTCTCCTGCTTTTAATGCTTAATTACTTCGACATCTTTCACTCGGCGATATTAACTGGGAAATAGCAGCGAAAAAAGAGAAATGCCATGAACAATTTTTTTTTTTTTTTAAGGCTTGGAAAGATACTTGGAGGCAGTTTGTGCTACAGCTCAAAAGGAATTTCGAGTGTATTTTTCAAACRAAATTAGCAATACAGGTTTTTCTCCAATGACAAAAACATTAAATGACATTTGTTAYATTAGATTTTAAAATAAGTTACCTGAGGTAACATTCCTTCACGTGAAGAAACTCAGACTTATTCAGGATTCAAATGATATATAAATATATAAATTGATTTGTATTGTGTTAACCATGAACTTTGAGTTAGTCCATGGCACAAAGCTGAGAAGAGTAACTMAAAAACTACATTTTGATTTTGACTCCCAAAATAACTTGCAAATTCACACACAGGACCTGCAGCCTTCTAGCAACACACCAGGATAAAGCAGATTTATTCAGAATTAGCAAACAGCATTTGACAGCAAGGTATACAAATACCAATCTATTATGGGCTGATTGTTTCTAAAGAAAAATCAATCAGAATCCTGCAGACTGATTTATCACTGCCAGTACCACAACATGAAGGTGTTTTGTTTATTTTGTGCAGTTTAAATCAGCACAATGAACTGTGATCGCTTTTACTTCACATGGCAAAGTTTTGAGAGGTATTTTTAATGCTTTACTGAACCAAATACAAACTTTGCTTTTAGGAACAAATATTAGTAACAGTTTAGATTTTTTTTTGTTTGTTTAACAAGTCAGACCTATTCTTTGACAGGAGACATCTCCAAGTGCCTCCTGTTTTGTCTGGTAGTTAAAGGAAAACAGCAGGAAAAGACCARTAAAGCTGGACCTGTGTCACTGCAYGGACACGAGTTTAGGTGGCACCTCCACACCTGGATCAGCTCGTGCYCCTCCCTCCCCAACATTCTCCTCCATGGAAAGAAAAACCAGAAAATGGATAGAAATGTTCTCTGGTGTTCCACTAACTTGTTTCTCTGGTTTTATGAGAGGAAAAATAGTAATGAAAACAAAGACCATTGCTCACATCATCCAAAAAAAATTTCAAAGACGCATTYATGTTTAACATCGACTCATTCCCCACGTCTTTAAAACAAACAAGCAGAAAAAATACCAGGTGGTCACTCCCCACTTCCATCCCAAAAAAGACATAAAAATGTTTTTTAAGCAAATCTCCCGTCCTAAAAATCTCATGTGTCCACTTAGAGTCTCCCTTCCACCTGAAATAGCAATAATTAGAATTTTTCAGGACCATGCTTGCCATCTACTTTCCTCCTGACGAATGCCAAGGAACCATAAAAGTTTGCAAATGCAGGAAAGTTAAGACATGAAAACCCATTTCTTTTCTTTTACATCTGAAAATTCCTCAATAGAAATAGCATTAACCAGGGCAGCATTTCACTCACTTCAAAAGCAGTAACAAGGGCTGTGAGGTTTAAGACAAATAATGCAAATGTAAAGAGCTTGGTGAGTCACAGAACAAGCTTCAAACATCCTCACAGACCCACTCAAAGCTGTTGAAAACACAATATTTCCATTTATTAGCCCTCAGGAAAAAGATATTATAGCAGGATTTGATCTTGCAATGCTCCAAGCATTCCAAGTGTAGTGTTAATACATAAATAATATGGAATGAGAAAATACAGCTTATTAGCTGTATTTTACCAAACTAGATTCTGTAGATTACAATCATTTATTAAGGKCATTCTAATGAGCTCATACACCTAAATAAGGTCATTAGATACAAATAAAACACTTATTTTCACAGATAAATATTGCATTTCCTTAAAAAACAGCAACCGCCCCAAACTGTGAGTGAGGTATGATCAATGATTTGTACTGCTCAATTATCAGCACGATGCTGTCACACAGAAATTGTTCAGGTGACCTTTTCTGCTTCAARATTTCTACGTGAATTTACAAAAATTGCCTTCCTTGGATAACACTGAATAAAAGCAGGAAGCAATCCAGATCTCAGACTTGCTCAGTCTCACAGGGGACAGGGAAAGTTATTGGGTATTTGTGGGACTGAACAATGCAATGTGAGTAGAGATAAAATCAAAATTAGAGAAAGTTACTGAAATAGAAAAAATGGCACAATAGTGGCCAATAACTGCAGGCTTGTTTCCCCGTAGCCCAAAAGTTTAAATATGAGAAAGGACTTCTAGATAAA